AAAAATTTGACAAAACTTCATCTAAAAACACGACTCCTAAAAAATATTAACATGTACACAATTTATAACTCATATGAAACATCAACAGTCTGTGAATTTATACATATGCCCATGACTGAAGCACTTGCAACTCACGNAAAACTTTGACAAAACTTCATCTAAAAACACGACTCCTAAAAAATATTAACATGTACACAATTTATAACTCATATGAAACATCAACAGTCTGTGAATTTATACATATGCCCATGACTGAAGCACTTGCAACTCACGTGCTTCAATTTATGATGAAAAATTGAACAATAGTCTGCATGGTTCAAAATCGCGGTATCGGTCATCGACTCGGACGACACTGAGACACATCGGTCGTGGTGTCACGGCACGGTATCGGCCGATACGCTCAAAATGCTAGATAGAAAGCTCAAAAAAAATTATAAAAATCATGAAAAATCCTAAAAAATATAAACATTATCACTCATGCATCATATTCTCATAATACGTTATTTAACACATTCAGAATAATCAAAAGAAATTACAAGGGCGCTATCAAAAATATTGGTTGTATGATCCCAACCAATGTCACTTTTTTTGGAGTCATTTGAAAAAATTAAGAATCAAATATCACTATATTGTTAAGCTTTCAATATATGTTACTATAATTATTTTGAACATACAAATAATTAATATTAAAAATTTTAAAATAAAAACAACAATTTTGAACATACTAGATAGTAAATTAGATAAATACATTAGATCCCACTGCTACTAAATATTATATTAATGTGAATACAAATATATCTTTTTTTACTTTTAAATTTTATGAAAATACAAACATTTTATCTATTTAGTATTGGTCTAATATTTTGATTACAAAATATTTTATCCATTAAACTAAATAATAGATGAAAATATAAATGAGGGAAGTGAAGACTGAAAAAATAAAACAAAAATATTGCCGTGTGGGTCTCAGTTTGAGTTAAAGAGAGAGAGAGAGAGAGAGAGATAAGGGGGGAGCTAGCGAGGGGGAGTTAGACGAATAAACATAGAGAAAGAGAGAGCGAACTGGGGGAGAGAGCGTGATCGACAGAGAGAGAGAGATCACAAATATCACATGGAACTCGAAGCTTCACTGCTTGCGATCGAGATGCTCCGCTGCCTATGATCTAAGGTTTCAGCAGTGGGAATCTGTTGCAAAGAAGAAGATGAAGATGAAGATGAAGAATTATTTGTTGCCAGCGATCGAGATCTGCGTTTGAGATCTGCGATTGAGGGTTTCAGGGATAGGCACTTCAGCTCTACTCCTAAAGGGCGACAAGAAGCGATGGGCACTCCAACTTTGCTTATTTTGTTACGAATTCACTTAACCCATAAATATGCAAGTGAGTCTCCCATTTGTTTTTTCTTTTCTCTTTTCTTTAGGGTTTTTGCTGCTCAGATTTTCTGTTGCACCATAGCAGTCTGACTCGGTTTGACTCGGCTCGACTTGGCCGAGTTCGACCGATTTAGCTCCGAGTTAGGCCGATGCCACTAAGTTATAACCGAGTCAGGACCAATTCAGTCGAATCTCGTTATATTGGTGTAACGTGTATCGTTATCGGATCGGCACCTACTGAGACGGATACGACTCGGCCGATACTTTGAACCATGGTAGTCTGGGCAAAATCCACATTATTACCAATTCATAACATTGAGGATGCAAATTGAGATTTTTAAGGTTTGATGGTATGAATTAAAAATCAAAATATCTTTTAGAGTGCAAAATGACATTAGCGTTTTTTACATGTCAAGNTTGAACCATGGTAGTCTGGGCAAAATCCACATTATTACCAATTCATAACATTGAGGATGCAAATTGAGATTTTTAAGGTTTCATGGTATGAATTAAAAATCAAAATATTTTTTAGAGTGCAAAATGACATTAGCGTTTTTTACATGTCAAGTCTCAAATCAAGTGTCCGACTTGTAATTTTCATAAAATTAGGTGACATTTATAATGGCAATACGATAGTTTTAGTCAAAAATATATTATTATATCTCAATCACATGGGGTTAAGATGCCTTGCTTCAAGCTGAACTCAAGTATATTATAGTTTGTTGTGATTTATTATAATTTTGACATAGTATAGAGAGAGAGGGTATGAGATAGAGATAGAGAGTTATATGAGAGATATAATAAATGTATGAGAATATGAGATAAAGAGAGAAATTTATGAGAGATAGGACAATGTGAGTTTAAATTATTTGTTAGAGAATCCTTGTGATTAGAGTTTTAATGAGTATTAGATGTATTTGTTATTATTAAATATATATAGCCATCCAATATATATAGCCATCAAAGTCAAATCCTCCAACTCCTGTAACTTTATTATTATATGCAGGGGCGACTCAAGGCAATTTGAGGCTTAAAGCGGAAATATTAAATGGGGCCTTTTTATTTTTAGTATTATTTTTTTAAAAAATTAATTTATTTTTAATTTTCTATGTGAGAGAGATAAAAGAAAGATGTGTTAATGTTGTCGAGAAAGATATTTCAACTTTTTCTTTTGTTTTTTACCATAGATAGGAAGAGAATGTGTTTAATTTCAACTTTTGTTTCTGTTTTTTTTATTTTTTTTTTACCACATAGAGAGAGTGGGTGGGTGGAAATAAATATGAATTGACTTTTGAGTATTTTTTTTATTTTTTCAATTTATAAGTTTTTAATATTATGGATTTGACCAACGGCCCAAATTATTGCAATAAAAATTTTGATTGAATTTAATTTTTTGTGGCTTTTTTGTTGGGCTTAAAATTTAATGGATTTAATTTTTTTTATGGGCTAGTGATGTACTGAAAATTATGGGGTCTTCTAAAAATTTGGGGCCTAAAGCCCATGTTTTTTTTTTTCATACTGTTGGACCGGCCTTGATTGTATGTGTTCAGGATAGAGGGAGAGTGTGTGTATGAGGTAGATAGAGATATAGAGTTATATGAGAGATGAGAAAGAGTGTGTTTAAAATGTGCGAGAGATAAGAGAAAGATGTAAAAGGAATAAAAATTCAATTATAATTTTATAGCTATAAAATAGATAGATAGATAGATAGATAGATATAAAATAACATATGTTAATAAACCTATAATTCGTTAGACATAATCCTTGTTATTAGAGTTTTAACGAGTGTTAGATGTATTTTGTTATTATTAGATATATATAGTCATCTAAGAGAGAGTTATTTGAGAGATAGGAGAGTGAGTGTTTAAAACGTGTAAAAGATAGGAGAGAGAGAGTATGAGATGGAGAGAAAGAGAGTTATATGACAGATGAGTCTTAGAATAGTAAAAAAAATGAAATTCCAATTAGGGAGAAAGATAGGGAGAGATAGTTAGATAAGAGATAGGAGTCTTAGAAAAATTTCGCATGAGAATTGTCGGATCAATAATCATCAAGCGATTTAAACAGCGAAAAGTTCTAGCTATTTTATTATATTGATATATAATAATCCTTTCAGGCATATATATTGTATAGTTCTTCTGTATATGCTCAACTCAGTTAACCTTTCAAGTTTAACCATAACTTGGTGTTCAGTGCTTTCTGTTTCCTGAATGGAACTTTATTGCCTAGCAGGATGAAGATGAAGAGGCATACCTTGAAACATATGGCAGTGGAAATGAGTAAGGCAGTACCTAAAACAAGGAGCTGATGCTTAAAATGATCAACTTTGCAATTTCCACCAACTGATTGGAACCCAAGTAGATTGGGCTCTGTAGATGACTGAAAGAAAGATTAATGATCAAGTTGGGGGGCTTCATACTGTGATGAAACGACAAAGATTTGTGTTGCAAAACTGCCCGTGATGAGAGTCATGGTGGATATATGTCCAAGGATGATGTTACACACATGATGGTGATGGTGTAGGTGTAGGTGTAGCTGTAGCTGTAGGTCTACTTATAGTGTGCTTAGACCTTCATATGGTGAGATCCTATTTCTGTGCCTTCATAGAATTGTTATACTGGGAAGAAACACTTTTTGTATGCATAACTGCTACTGTATATGGAGACCAAGAGGACAGAGAGCAGATCCAATCAATTCATCATTTTTTTATACCTTGTGCACATCAGGCAAATAAAATTAGACAAGTACTACATTGTCCATCTATTCTACCCTCAATTTTTTCGATTCTTTGTCCAACAAAGGAAGAGCATTCATAAAAGAACAAGAATTGAATCAATCAACTCTAATTTTTTGGCTACTAGGAGATATCTGATCTCTTAAAGCACATGTCTAATCTTCCTAAATAATGTAGACTTCACATCCTACTGTTTAACTTAGACTCGCTGAATCCATTGACATAACTCCAATTAGACTCGCTGAATCCATCGACATAAACCCCAATCCCTCTTAGAAAATGATTCAAGATTGCACTCAGTTGCAGAAACTTATGATGGGTTTTGTTGGGTTTTATCAGGTTAAGAACACTTTATTTAACCCACTGAATGGAAGAAAGCAATTCAACATTTCCATGCTCAACAAACTCACCATTTGAAATAAGATGAAGTACACAAGCTAGACCGGGAACCCAACCCTTCATCGCCTTTATTGAAGGGTCTCTAAAGGGTCAAAAATCACCTCAAGATTATAACAAGGAATTTTACATTTACAACATTAAGCAACAAACATGGACATCTGGCAACATGCACNTTCTTTGTCCAACAAAGGAAGAGCATTCATAAAAGAACAAGAATTGAATCAATCAACTCTAATTTTTTGGCTACTAGGAGATATCTGATCTCTTAAAGCACATGTCTAATCTTCCTAAATAATGTAGACTTCACATCCTACTGTTTAACTTAGACTCGCTGAATCCATTGACATAACTCCAATTAGACTCGCTGAATCCATCGACATAAACCCCAATCCCTCTTAGAAAATGATTCAAGATTGCACTCAGTTGCAGAAACTTATGATGGGTTTTGTTGGGTTTTATCAGGTTAAGAACACTTTATTTAACCCACTGAATGGAAGAAAGCAATTCAACATTTCCATGCTCAACAAACTCACCATTTGAAATAAGATGAAGTACACAAGCTAGACCGGGAACCCTTCATCGCCTTTATTGAAGGGTCTCTAAAGGGTCAAAAATCACCTCAAGATTATTACAAGGAATTTTACATTTACAACATTAAGCAACAAACATGGACATCTGGCAACATGCACCGTTGATACATATCATGCACGCCTCTTACTCAGACGCCAAGAGTTAGGTTCATGATATCTGTCGTAAAGTGGTTCAATGCGTTCTTGACGCTTGCGCTTGCTCATTTTTGTGGGATCTGCAACCTTGAAGAATCTTGGTGCCAATTCCACAAGCCACTTGGGGTCGACAACTGTGACCTCACGCATGTACTCCTTTGTGGTCATTACAAGCTCATGGTAGATGACCCAGTCTGGTTGTCTCTGAAAAAGAGCACTGCTTGGGTGGATATAAACAGGCTGGTTCTCGACAAGGGTTCTATAACCCTCCTGTGGATCCTTTCTAGCTGCATGGAAGAAGAATCCTGCAGCTATTGCCTTCCGTATCTTGGTGAAATTCTTCCCAGCACCGACCACATCCAATTTGTACCTGTACAACAGCACGAGAGTCGGTACATGGAACCACATACACAAAACATTAAGAAGTTTTAGGAGTCAACATCTTCTATCAGCATAAAGGTGGTATGAAAGCAATATAGAATTTACTGACCCACTCAACTACAGCCTGCACAGCTAGCACTTTCATGAGTGATTAACACAACACAAAACAATAATCATAAGCTGGATACGTAATGAGCAGGATATGAACCCAATCAACCAAAATAATCAAGTTAAACACTACCACTAAATTTTTTTTATTTGGACAATGTTGCAACAGTGCAAGAAACAGCAAATACTAATACATTGAAACACAAATTAATAACAAAAAATGGCACAGGAATAAATACGTAAATCAACAGTAGCACTTATCTGTTATCACTAAGCAAATCGGAGTAGAAGAAAAGAGAATTATCTAGCAGTGCACATTATTTTTAAAACTAACTCAAAAAAAAACCCCAATGGCTAATGGAGATCCTCGGCAAAAAAAGGAGACATAGGAACAAAGCCCGGTGCATCAACCTGTAAGGCCCGATGAATGACATGACAAGTGCTTGAGGACCAAAAATCAGAGTATCACATTCAAACAACCAAAAAACAGGGCACATCACTTTTACATCTTAAATACTAAGCCCCACATTCAGGAAGCATACGTTTTCAGTTTATCTAACTAGAATCAGAAAAAAGACAAACTGAAAATAACTAAAAAAATAATTCAAAATGAACTAGAAGCATACACATATATGATACATGGACCAGGCAACTCAATATCATAGAACAAGAAAGGTAAAGTAACATATTAAGCAAAGGCCCGTAACAAAAATGAAATATGAAAACAAAAAATTTGAAAATCAGCTAAAAGAACATACTTGTCCATAATGGAGAGGAGCTGTTTCCTAACATCTTGTGCCCTCCTCAAAGATCGAGACTGAACAAAGTTCTCAAAACACCATGGTCCAGAAAAATTCTTTGCTTTCCAAGCCTCATACACAGCAAGTAAAGTCAGATGATCTCCCTCAGGCTGGAAAAATTTGGCCCTCTTTTGATCTGCTTGAGCTTGTTTTTCCCTTGGCCTGTAGAAGATGTTTCCAGTCTGAATCATTGCAATGATAGTCAAAATCTCATCACTACAACCAAGGTCCACACTGGCAAGGAGCATCTTAGATAAGGGAGGCTCCAATGGAAATTCTGCCATTTTTCTACCCAGCTTGGTCAGAAGTCCTTCCTCATCCAGAGCTCCTAGACTGTACAGCTGTTCCATGGCAGATATGAGAGCTTGAGGGGAAGGTGGGTCCATGAAATCAAAAGACAAAAGATCATTAATCCCCATAGCTTTCAGAGACAGCGTAATCATTCCTAGATTAATCCTTTGAATTTCAGGGATTGATGTTGGAGACATCTCGTTGTGGAAAGCACTCTCTGTGTAAAGGCGATAACACTTTCCTGGCCCTGTCCGTCCAGCACGCCCAGCACGTTGTTTTGCTGATGCTTGTGAGATAGGAGTTATGATCAGTGAATCAAGACCTTGTTTAGGATTGTACACATTTTGCTTTGCAAAGCCAGGGTCAATGACATAATATATCCCATCAATAGTCAAAGAAGCTTCAGCAATATTGGTCGCAACAACCACTTTCCTCTTCCCTGGAGGGGCAGGTTCAAAAATCCTGGATTGCATTTCACTTGGAAGGGCACTATAGACTGGTAAAATAATTAGTTCAGGAACATTTTTACCAAGCCCTTTCATCCTTTCATATAAACACTGGCATGCGTGATCAATTTCCTCTTGACCTGTCAAGAAGACGAGAATGTCCCCTTCAGGTTCTGTCAAATGAATCTGCATAACGGTGATCAGGGCTGCATCTAGGTAGTCACTTTCAGGTTGTTTGGTGTAGAGTATTTCAACTGGGAAAGTTCTTCCAGGAATGGTGAAGATATTACAGTTGAAAAAATAACCTGAAAATTTCTCTGCATCCAATGTGGCAGATGTGACAATCAAACGAAGTTCGGGCCTCCTTTTCACAAGCTGCTTAAGCAGTCCAAAAAGGACATCAGTGTGGATTGTCCTCTCATGAGCTTCATCAAGCATTATAACCGAATATTGGGTTAAATTCTCATCAATCAGAATCTCCCTCAAAAGCATACCATCAGTCATGTACTTGATCACAGTGTCTGGTCCTGTACAATCCTCAAACCGAATGGCATAACCCACTTCCTCCCCTAAACGACAGCCAAACTCTTCAGCAACTCTCTTGGCCACAGACATTGCAGCCACCCTACGAGGCTGAGTACACCCAATTTTACCCCTGGTTGTGTAACCAGCTTCAGCTAGGTACTGTGTCACCTGGGTTGTCTTCCCTGAACCTGTCTCACCAATGACAACCAGAGCCTGATTATCATGTACTGCCTGAATCAATTCTTTCTTAAGTTTGTAAATGGGTAAGCTCTGCCTCTGCTCCTGGAAGGAAAGCTTTGATCTCTGCCCAAAAGTCAGGGCTTTACCGAAAGCATCCTTTTTCCATTCTGGCATGTCATAGGCAGACAAACCTACGCCCCTTAGCTCCTGTGCTAAGTGCCTCTCACCGGTCTCAGGCATCGGGTCTTCCCAGGGCCTATTCAGATCTTTTGGAATAGAATCAAGCATTGTTCTTTGCTGCTGTTCCCGGACTTCTCTCCTCTCCTTTATGAGGGCAGACTGAAGGGCAGCTGCACGACTCAAGGACCCCTCAGGATTCTTAAAGATCTTAACAGGTGACATGTCCATAGAATACCGACTCTGCCCCTGCAAGAAGGCTGGTTCGTCTTCATTCAGCTCAATCTCAAGCTCTTCCTCAGCACCCTCTTCTTGATAGATAACTCCATCCCCTTCATCATCATACATTGGATACTCCTTCACACTCAAAACACCCGAAGCAATCAGCTGTTTCGCTTCCCATCTCTCGGGTGAACTCATTCTTTTCAAGGGTCGCCTTGACGGGACAACATCATCCTCTTCAGTAATATTAATCCCCGAAAGACCAGTCCTAGACCTAGGCCCACCACTGTTTGTCCCTGAAGGGTTCATCCTCAGAATATCATCTTCCGAGGTCTTCCTCAATGGCAACAAGTCCTTCCCACTATTCTGATCCACATCCCTCATTGAAAGACTCAATTTCTGACCTGAAACAGAAATCACCTTCACATAAACCTCTTGGTCCCGCTTCACAATATCCTTCGCATTAGTGACCCTCCTAGTAGCAATCTGTGAAACATGCACCAAACCCTCTTTGCCCCTACAGTCATTAAGCTGAACAAAACAACCCGTGTCCATCACCCTTGAGACCCTCCCCTTATACACCTTATACAGCTCCGGCTCATCAGATCGATTCCTCCCATTCCTCTCCCTCCAATCGCCATCTTCCCGATTATTCCCATCTTCATACCCATCTCTCCCATTTTTCTCATATCTATCCCTATGCCTTTCTCTACTCTTATAATCACCCCGATCATCTTCCTCCCTATCTCTACGTCTTTCCCTTCTATCATCTCTATGCCTCTCTCTTCTATCTCTATCGCCATGCCTATGTCTTCTCACTTCTTCTTTTTCTTCATTTCGCTGCCTCTCTTTTACTTCCCTTTCAATTTCTCTCTCCAACTCCTTCACTCTATCTTTACCATCGTCAATCTTCAAAGCTGAAAACCTCGACTTCTTATTCTCAGTACCATCTCTTCTCGAGTCCTTATCCGATTTGGACTTAACTTTGGGAGGCAAAATCGCATGAATTATAGTCAACAGCGTCCGTACAAAATAATCAGGCATCTCAGCCCCATTCTCTTTCAATTTCTCATCAAATTCATCCACATTCCCACAATTCCGACCAATCTCAGTTATAAATTCAGCCAATATTTTATCTCCAAACCCTAAATGAGTCTCAAGCTCCGTACAAACCTTCGACACCAATGATAAGTACTCTAATTTCTTCAACCCTTCGTCTTTAACAACACTACCCATCTCTACACACAATATTCAGGCATATATATATATATATATGTGTATGTCTATGTACGCTGTGTATCAGTGAGTATATATGAATCGGAGTAAATTTTTGAAGAAAAAGTTAGGGTTTTGAGTTCTAGGGTTTTCGAACGTACCGAGAATCTGGTGTTCCAGTGAAGGAGAAATCGAAGGAAAACGAATGGCAAAAGGGCGAGATATGTTTTTGTGTAGAATTACAGATGGCTCAAATTATGTGCGCCGACTATAACAACGGCGTCGTTTTAGAGCTCTGAGAAGAACGAAGGGCCCCGGCCCGCCCATGAGTTGGGTCCAAAGATCGATGCCTCATTGAGATATGGGCCGGACTGGACTATCAATGGAGGTTAATGAACGACCCATTAGCCCAGAAATTAGATTTGTGGTGCTTTTGTCTGTCCAGCCCATATACCATTAAAAGATCCATTTACAACTGGTCCGATGGGTACACAGTGGATCGTCCTTTCTCTAGATTGATCGGCCTAACAATTGTACTAATCTAAATTATTAGGTGTTTTGACTTTTGATGACCTGTGTTGAATTGAAGGTTTTGATTTGAAAGGATGAGAATAAAAGGCTTACCGACTTGACTATTATATCAATAAAAAAAAATTCAGTATTGTATCTCTAAAATTTATTATTTTAAATAATATTTTTATAATTTTAATGAGTTCTGTTATGATTAAAATATTTATTATTTTTACGGGTGATTTATAATTTTTATAAGTGTTTTTATTATTATTTTTTATCACTGTCATGGTACTAAAATTAATGATAAAAATATTCATAAATATAATAAATTTTAATATAATACCAAATTTTTATTTTTCAATATTGTAGTCAAGTCCGAGGTTTAGACGGACTTAAACAAGTGTATAAATAGTGACTCGTAAAACTTGATAAAAACTGTTAATTCTAGTCATTATTAAAATTTGACGAGTTTGATAAGTGTTTTATGTACATTTACTAATGAAAAGGTGTAATAATTTGAGAATAATCTTCGACTCTAGATCAATGGAGTCATTTCGCGAAAAGGAAAAAAAAAAAAAATTAGAGCTAGGTTTATCATAAATGTTAAGACTGATTTCAAATAATATTTTTTTTGTATTGTTATTAGATTTCATTATAATTTTACATTCATTTTGTAATAAAATTTAGTACAATATCAAAAAAACAATTTTTTTTAATACTATAGTCTTACCCTTAAATGGCTGCTAAGGACAATGAAGATCTGTTGGCCATGACTTCGGAAATATAGATACAGATACATAATACGAGAACGATACGATACAGATATGTCAATATTTTATATTTTACTATTATTTAACGACTTAAATATTATAATTTTTAACAATTATTTAACAATAGTAAGAAAAATTAGTAATTTTTATCTTAAAAAAGATTTAATATTGTCTCATTATGATATATTTATAAAGTAAACGTGACCAATTAAAGGAATCAGAAACAACATTTAATTATTTGGTTTGTTTACTTTTTTTTATAAGATTATAGTGTAATTAATTTATTTTTTTTTTATACTTTTTTAACATATAATAGTAAGTAATATTTTAAAAAAATCGTGCCTTCAAACTCAAATAAAATTTTGTTGATGCTTGGTGTAGATTAAATGCATTCTCAAATATTATATTTAATACGATATTTAATATAAATATATCGACCTTATTGAAGAATAAATACTTCAATGTGTCGTGACCAAATGATGTACTGCTCACTATGAAACTTATGTTCCCTTGTCACCCAGCTAAGGGAGTGGCTATGCCTTTATTAAGAAATAATAATGTTAGATTGGTCAGATTTTAGAATCAAATTTAAAACTAAAATGATGTGACAGCAATTCCTACGGTGAGCGAGTGAGTGAAGGTCATGATCTGCCAACTGGGTCAAATGGCATACTCTTGTACGATGGGCCATCATAGAACAATGGATTTGATGTGTGTTGAATTGGCATACAAAGTAATTAAGGATATTAAAAAGGGCATTCAAACATGACTTTTCAATTTGAGTCAAATAAAAAATCCAAAGGTCCAAATAGAAATAGTAAGGTTTTGCGGCTGGTTATCGCGAAAATCTCTTGATTTTATTTTTTTCCACAGTTTAAAAAATAAATTAAAGTTAAATAACTTGACTATTATATATATATAAATAACTCGAGTTTTACAAATTTAAATTAGACTCATTTTTTAAAATAAGTTTAAAAAATTATCTCATTTTTTGACTAATTTAAAAATACAAGTCGACTTTTCCGTAGAGGTTAATCATCGTGCTTTTGACCATTGAGACTTTTTCATAGAGGTTTTTATTTGAAAAGCCAAAAGTCAATATTATAAGACATGATGAATTTATTAGGAGAATACTGTAAATTTTGGGTTCAGATTCTATCTAATATTTTTTTTTCTATCTTACTCTTTGATAGATCACCGACCGCCAACCATGTTTCGCTAAAGAGGTCTATTTATGTATAATAAATCGCACTTAAATTTATGTTCTTTAACATAAATTGAGAAAAATATATCGGAGGTATCTACTATGAACATCTCGCATTTATGTGTTATTGTGAAGCAATGGTTTTGTGTTATCTTTTAGATCTTTCTCAAAAAAAAAAAAAAAAGATTTGACTATGATATTGCAAAATAGAATTTTGGTATCATAACAAAATTTGTTATGCTTGTGGGTACTTTATTACTGTTGTGGTACCCAAAAAAGTGGTAAAAATAATTACCGTAACAATAGTGGTAAAAACACTCACAATAGTGGTAAAATTTTTTATAAATATGGTAAATTATCCACAAAAGTGAAAAAAAAAATTGTACCAAAGAAAAGTTATAAAAATAATTATTACAACAATGAATGGTGGTAAAGATACTCACAAAAATAATAAATTCCTTAATTGTAAAATGACCCGCATAAGTTATAAAAACACTCTTTCAAATAGTAAACTTTAAAGGTATGGTACCGAATTTTTTTTGTAGTACTAGTAAAGTTCTAAAAAAAGAAAACATAAAAATTGAAGGTAGTGGTTTTTTAAGGAGGGTTAATCTCAATCATCTAGATGGATTAGTATCATTTTGAACAGCTCTAGTCAAATACTCTAATCCAAGAAAGCTGGACAGAAGAGCAGATCTAATGTTGCACATTTTATAATGCAAAATGAAAAAGAAAGCAAATGAAACCTTAATGAACATAAGATTATATAATCAAAACTTATGTTCACACTAGTTTTTTTTAATCTTTGTTTTCACACAAGTGAAAGGGGCAGTTTTAAAAAATAAAAAATTGGAGGGCAAGGTAGAAGTATATATATTGAACTAGAATATAACAAAACTAAACTTTGGCTTCCTCCCTTGACTCAATTCAAACCCTCGCGAGGTTGGACTTTGACCATTACTTTTCTAACCTCTTCGCTGGTTCATGGCTGCTGTCTCTCTCTCTCTCTCTTTCTCTCTCTATACTTTTCAATTCCTGTTTTCTTCTTTCCAAACATATTTACATTCTCTTCGTATGAATTTGAAAAACATATTCTTCCCATGCTTTACTACTTTTCAAGTTTGAAGTTCTGATTCTCTCTCTCTCAATCCCCAAGTGGGGCCTCTGTATATTTTTTCCAATAAACAGTTGTGGGAACTTCTTCTTCCTCTTGCTACTTTTCAAATCTCTCTCTCTCTCTCTCTCTCTCTCATTTCTCTCTTCACAAGAGCAAGAATGACAATTAGCTCCAGAAAGAAAAGGCAGAAGAAATTCTATATGAGCAAAGAAAGAGAATGATATAGAGATTCAAAGGGCTCTCAAAACTCATGCCGAAAACTTAGTTCTCATGGACTCCATTTTCCTCCTTAACGATGGTGACCGTACAGCCTTTCTTCAACACATAATGCAGACCTTTGGCTGCACCTATATTTGCCTTTGGTCATACTTACCCCAACCATCTAAGTAAGAAATCTCTCTCTCTCTCTCTCTCTCTCTACACATACCCAAATATATGCTTCTATGTATGCTGTGTATTTGCTTCCTGATTTCACAATTTTCGCAGTTTTTTGTACTTCAAGGATGGCCTCTTCCGTGAAGAAAACAACCAACCCAGCTCATCATCTGGAAGTCATGCTCGGAGGCTCTTTGATGAGTATAGACAATCTTTTTTCAGTGTTAATGATAGGTATACTAATCATAACTATATACATACATATATGCATAGATATTTGTGTGTGTGTATTTAAAAATTTGATAGATTTAAGGTCTCTCTCTTAATTAATTTCTTGTGTTTCAGCCATGTTCCAGGACATGCTTTTATAAACAAGCTTCCTTACATTGAGCTGAAGGAGCCATACCTTCAAAGTCTGGCATCCTCAGGAACTCAATTGCAATTCTACCAGGTAATCATTCAGATTTAATATCAATGACACATTTTCATTTTTCGTATTAGTAAAAAATGAATTTCTAACTTTCTATGTTTTTTTTCTACAGGAAGCTAGGATTAAGGTTTGTTCAACTACAATCTTAAATCTACAGCATAATGATCATGAATATTGCTTGAATTTTTATTTTTAATTGCAGACTGCAATATTTATGGGGTGCAATGTCGGAGAGATTGAGCTAGGCATGTCTACTGACACCCAAGTAAGAAATTCATGTTCACATTCTTAAAGCCATTATGTTGTTAAAGCTAATATGCAAAAAGGTTGTTTTCATGTATAAAGTAAACTAAACCTAAGAAAACCCATTTGGGTGTGTCCTTATTAACTAAATATTTTAGGTTGAATGTATGTAGTACTAGTTAGTATTTACTGTATCCTACCTTGTTGTTGTGCTAAATGATCAATTGGGTTTTTCAGATCAACTTGGAAACGGAAATGAGAAACTATTTCCCTGAAGATTTCTCTCGACAACAGCAGCCCAGAGAACTTCCCCAGCCAACTGATCAGGATCGGCCTTCTTCATCTTCATCGTCTTTGTTATCCCTCTCTCTGGACAGCACAGAATACTCGCCTCTCTTCTTCAGCATT